AACTTTTAAGAATAACGAGACTATGCCTAGGGTGAAATGAAAGGGTGTATTTTCTGTAACTTTTTGTCTGTATTCTTAGGAGATTTGTTGCAAATTACCTTTTATTTTTTCTCTGTTGTGAATGCTTTGTAACTGTCTTAGTTGAAAATGGGAAGGCATTACTTTTGTATCAGCACATCAGGGTTTCCTGGTGTTAGCTCTGTAAGACAAATAAGGTGTTTAATGTTAAAAAATACTTAAATCAGAAGGTATTTCACAACAGTTTTGATACAAATCAGAAAAAGCTGATAATAAATACTATGTCAGCACAGATTTCCAGTTGCTTTCAGCAAAGGGGGACAGGGCATTTCTGTCCTCTTTTCCTCTGTCCCTCTTGTCCCTGGCCAAGCAGGATGCAACAGCAAATGCCTTTGTGCTCCTTGGTTTCAGGCCGTGCTAGGCTCCTGGGTTTCTGTGCCTTAGGCTGCCTAGTGCTGCCAAGGTGCCATCCCTGTTACAGGGTGCCTGGGAGGGTGGCGGTGGAGATGGGAGAAGTTTGCTAGCACAGCTACTGCAGGGTTATGCTCTGCTAACTTTGAGTTTTGCAGCATTTTGTGCTTTAAATCAAAACGAGGGTGCTTAATGCAAGTTTTCTCTATTTAATTATAGCAGCCATATCAGTATGCGTAATGGGCTGCTAATATATTACTCTGGTGGACAGTAGTATTGCTAGCGCACAAAAGGTGCTGACTCAGATCTGTCCACTGTCCTTGATTTGGCATCCTTGTCTTTCCTCAGTTTAATGCTTTATGTCACTAAGGGCTTTGATTTAAGATACAGCACCATCATAAAAGAGGTGACAGCAACAGCTGAGCTCTCTGTTAAAATACTCTATATTATTTATTTCAAACTGTTTGGGTATATAGGCATTTTCTTGGAATTTTATTGCCTTTTATTGGAGGCCATTTCAGGATTTTATTACTTTTCTCTCTGATTTTGTTTATGTGTCAGAGACTTGAAAATAAGGGAATTGCTTAGTTGTCATCTCCAGTGAGGTTTTTAGAAGATGTTGCTGAGTTTACGACTCTGCCCCAGAACAGGAGGAAGAACAGACTAGTTGGTAGGGCTCTGGGCTGATTTTCTTTTTCTCCCCCTACTTCCTGTGTGGCTTTGGGCAAATTACTTGTCTGTATCTTGAATCTGTAGTGGTGGAGTGAAGGGAGCACTTGCCTGCTGTGTTGAAGGTGCAAAAAACTGAGGTTCAGAAACTAGAGATGGAGACCAATATAGTGGTCATCATACAGAGAGGGGAGGCAACACAGAACTTGCTGGAAATGATCAGACTGAGAACTACTCTGCCAGGAGGAGGATGTGCCAGTGCCTATGTAAATGCTGAGGTGCAGACAAGCTGGAAACCCAGTGCTGCTGGCAAAACAGGGCTTATGCTGTTTCCAAGTGTAGGATCAAGAATATAATCCCATTTTTGCATGACGCCTTTCACATACTGTAGAACATGATGCCACAAATCTGCCCTGAACACGGGAGTTTATGCCTGCAGCTTCCTGTTGCATGGAACAGTTTCACGGCTCTGACTCAGTGTTACCAGCATCACTCTGTCTCTCTGGGACATATAGCCCCTTGGTTATCAGGGCTAGGATCCTTTGCCTTCTGTGGCTGATGTTTGTTTATTCTTCCTTATGCCCCACTTTCAGTCAGTTGAGTACAGGGCTTTATCACGGGCTGGGGCAGGTTAATGGGAAACAGAGCTTCAGGCAGGAACAGGAGGGAATTCCTGTCTTGCCAAAGAAATTC